TCTCTCTCTCTCTCTCTCTCTCTCTCTCTCTCTCTCTCTCTCTCTCTCTCTCTCTCTCTGGTTTTATAAATGCACTTTTAGAAATATTTCACAAATCTCATGGCGATTAAAACCAAATAATGCAATTTTTAAATCCTGAACTTGCTTTATTTAGTAGTGACATAAGTGTAGCCAATGGTACTTTTCTATATTTTTAAATGAAACAATCTTATTTTCACAAAGCAGCATTAGTGATTTCATTATTTCCAAATAATCTGTGCTTAGTTGTATTTATATGAAAATAATCCTCCTTGCTCTTCGTGTTCTGAGTTTCCACGTTTTTCATTTGTCTTACAATTTTGTTTGTGCTGGTCTGCATTCCAATGTGTGCATTTTAAAAGAGCACATGTTTCAAGTTAGATGTTGTTTTATGCTCTAACTCTATTGTGCATGCCTTATTTAATGATCTTGTTTATACAGACTGTGAGCAACAAAGGCTCAGCTGAAGAAATTAAACTACTTATTTAAATGTTAAAACTTTATGATATAGTAAATGTTAACCAAACTGCAGTAAAGTGTATATTTGATGGTTTCCTTTAAACCTAATAAAAAGGTTTGCCAGATTTCCTGCTGTGTACTTTAATACAGGGACTCTGCTTGAGTTTGGCATTGAACACTGTTGTTTAAACTGAGGAAAACATTTTAAAAACAAGCAACTTTCTTTCTTTTCATCAAAGAAATGTTTCCTATATTCTCACATAAATCAGCGGTTTCTGACGTTATCAGTCCATTAAATGGACGTTATTAGCGGTTATCAGTCCCATAGAATGGCTTCATACTGTCCCGACTGTGCCGTCTGGCAGGTTATCGGTCCCATGGGGTGGCTTCGGACAGTCCCAACAGTGCCCCCTGGTGGGCTGTCCCGATGGTGCCCCCTAGTGGTTTAATATATCAATGACATTGAATGTGTAAATAACAAGGCCATCTTTTGGGTGTTTTTTTGTCTGGGTTGGGGGGTGGTGGTTTTCTTGCTGTCCGTGCCTGGTCTTGGTCCTGGCTCTCCCGCTCTCCGGTCCAGCAATCTACCCATTGCCCTACGTTGGGCCTGCAACAATGGTCCACTTTATCGTAGCCCATGTCATTTTCTCTAAAATTAACCTTAGTGGCTTTATGCCTCATACTAACCAGCTGACAGTCTGAAGCCACTCTATGGGACTGATAATGACTAATAACGTCCATTTAATGGATGGTAATATCTGAAGCGGGTGCATAAATCCTGTACTCATGTTTCCTGGATGGTTCCCCGTGCAATGCATGAACTGCCATAAATTAGTTTTAAGACATTTGAAAGGGGAACCAACCAATGATCTTTCAAGACTGTCATCATTATTAAACCTAGAACATGTAGGTATTGGGGAATCACATGCTAAAATAGGTCTATTTCCAGTCAGTTTACACTTTGTTGTTTTGGTCCTTTAAACCTGCTTTATCATTGACTTTTTACACTATCAGCATGTTTTCCCTAATACTACCAAATACAGCAGTGTATACCTCGTCATATATCACTGACTTCGTGTATAAAAGTTGTGTTTCTACTTTTCAACATTCCACTGCATTAATATAATTGGGCGACGATAGAGTTAAAGTGTGCACTAATTTTTGACCCAGTTTCATTGTTTAGTAGCTCTGCCGGTTCACTTTGAGATCCCTGACATTTGTTCCTGCAGTATTTCTTGCTTGGATCATTTGCCGGTCTGACTATGGATATCTGAAGAAAAACACCTCTTTTGTTTAACTGATATAAAAATTACTGCTGATCAACTCAAGGAAGCCAGTCTTTCTTTGCTAAAACAGAGAAATATATTGATCAATAATCTTAGAAGGAATGAGCTGCTTTCTTTAAAATCACAAAAAGTTGGTATCACGAAAATAAATGTCCAATCAAGTCCACTCTCAGCTTCTATATAAGATGGAGAAATCACATGTTTGTGCTTGGCAAAAGCATCTATTTTTGTATTGCTCCTCAAATAACAGAGGTCCTTTATGATAAATTTAAATAGTCACTATAGGTTCTATTAACTGGATAGTTAATTTGATAATGGACTTTTCATTTTCACCGGTCTGCTTCAGAGAACTGCTGGACTTTGGCACAAGATCAAAAGCACAATCACAGACACATGTTCTGTCATACCCAATAAAGCACACTTTTGTTCTTTTTTTTCTTTTGCACTCTTTGAAGTCATAACTTCCAGTTTAATGTTTTTTATGACTAAGTCAATAAATCACATTTCTCCAGGGATTGACATTGGTAATATCTGAATTTTGAGTCTTAAGGTGCATTGTTTTCCTTTTTTTCCAAAGTTTCTTAGACCCTTAGTCCTCCAAAACAGCTTTTGTCAAAACTATCTCCAGTAGAAATACAAACCAGACACAAATCCAAAGAAACATGAGGGAGACAGCCTGTCTTGTGACAAATTGAAACCACATATGAGGTGATGGTGACTGTATGAGTTATGGTAGTCTGAGAATGATATATTTTAGGAGAAAGGGTCAGAGCTCCACAGTGAAACCCGTGGAACTTTGGAACGGTCAAGTTCATTACGGTTTCACAGAGTAATGGTGCACAGATGGTAGAAAAACACTGCAAACATGTGCTCAACATGAATATGGACACGTTACTGGGAAGTGCTTTTGCATTGAGAGATAGAGTCTGGGTATTTAGTTTTGGTATTTTAATGTACCGATTTTTCCCCCACAAACTTTGTAAGCATTTTTGAAAGCCTCGTTTCTTTGTTTTTAAACTGCAAATATTGTGGCACAAACTGCGACTCAAACACACAACATTCATATCCAAATATGTATGGAATCTGAGCTTCTCAGTCCACCAGCAGGCATGTGTGGTCAACACACACATCACAGTCAGACGAGCTGCCAAAGTTTTAAATGTGCTTGGAAAAGTTGGTAAACTGGGTCACATATGGTGCACATGTTGTAGACATTTAGGTAGCAAGAATGAACAGGGAGCAGGTGCACTAATTTCTGATAATGAAACCAGCAGGGATCTTTGAAGACGCTATGAGAAACTGAGAGAAAGTAGCAAAATCAGGACAAAGGTGTACAATTGCCCTAGATTACATGTATTTTCAAAAATATTTTGCAATGGATGCTGCAGAAATCAACTTCTGAAAGACCCTGGCCCACACTTAAAACAATTTTAACTTTCATAGATAATTATTATAAGTACTATGGAAACAAGTGCTTGGTAAACGTTATAACTTTAAATAAAACACACTATACTGTTTATGAGAAGATCCCACTGTTTGACCATAGTTTAATCAAATACTTATTTTCTTCTTCTGACAAAAGAAATGGTTGAACACTGCCCTCTGCAGGAAGAAAAGACAGTTTCAATAAATTGGTTAAGTTTATTACATTTTTATACAGACAAAAACATTACAACATGTATAGCTTACCTTTATGTTAATATTTATTACGTATTACAGTCATATTATAATAGCATACCCTAACAGTTTATTATCAAATTTAAAGATGAGGCCAAAGTTTCATACCTGAATTCACACAGTGGAACTGATTGTGATGAATTTTAATCTTTGCACTGTTGAGGTTACACATTCAAGGATACATTTTGCTTTTCAGTCTTGTCTTGATTTACTAAGCATCTTCTTTTCTGCAAGTCAACAAAAGCCACGAAAAAGACAGGAGTAAAATAAAATTTTCTAACCATGTGTACAAATCTGAGAAGGCAATTTTTGAGCTTCTAAATCTCATTTAACATGTAAAAGGTCTGAATTTAAAAAGTGGCAAATCTCTAAAATGATTCATGAAAAGATTAAAAACATGTGCACTGCAAAGTCCAAAATGTATTCGATGAATACTTGATAATTCGGCACTTAAGTGTTGCATAACAATAGATGAGTAAATGATGTGCATGCATGTGTCAGGAGACATAATATTAGCTCATTTCAGTAGTGAACCAAAACAAACTCATAAATAAGTTTAAATTTAGTATCAGTTAGTATAAATTTGTACAAATGTCTGATTATGATGCTCTATAATGTTAACATATTGTTGGTAAAAGACAAATACTTAATGCACCATCACATTATTATACTATAATTAAATTAGTTTCTGGCAAAAAGTGTGTTTTGAAAAACAGTACAGTTGCCATGTTGAACATTGAAATGTAGAATATAGAGCAGTCCTTTGGTCCGAGCTGAAAAGAGGACAGAGAGAGAATGGTAAAGAAAGAATGAGGGGAGTACAGAGAGAAGACTGGCTGAGTCAGGTTATGGGTTTGTAAGGCCAGCAGGTAGAAGTAATCAGTAGTTTCAGTGGAGGATCTCTATAAGCAGTCGCTTGAAGTCCCCGCCACACTCCGAGTCCAGAGCCTCTTTCAGAGTGACGTCATATTTCTCCAGGTACATGTCCTTCACTGTCTCCAAGTCAATCTATGGGGAAATAAAAAACAAATGCAGTGTTGCACCATAACTAATTATTTCTTCAGGAAGTTTTCATGCAACAAAATTGGGGAGGTTCACACTGCCCAAACTCTAAAGGGAAAAGCTGAATGTAGGATGTTGTAAAAGAGGCTGGGACTGATTTTCAGGAGAAAGTGCAGTTTACATTCAAATCATGAAATCTAAACATCGGCGGTGAAAGCATTGATTTTATGGACTAGATTATGGTAGGTGCTAATGTGTAGTCTTTACACATCAATAACTCTAAATTATTTATTTTACTTATCAGAAAACATATATACGATATTTTTCAAAACATTTATAATGTTTTATTTAGTTATTTATTTTTTAATTTTTTGTGTACAAAAAAACTAGTGGTGGGGTGGCACCCTAGCGCTCCCTACTGACCAGCCACCACTGCTTTAAAATAAAACTTTCACAAACAGAAATACAGAAAATATACATCAGGACAAAAATGGAAAGCTGCTGGAGTTGCTGCAAAGAATACATTTCACTAAAGCAACTTTTTCAACAAAAAGGCAACAGTGTTGCAGTTCAGAATATAATGTGCGTAGGACACCAAGATTTGTTGATGTTTAACGTCTAATAAGTGCCAAAAAGTTTCAATGATGCACTTTTGCAAGACCGGAAGTTTAGTAAGACCTGCAATACCCTTAAATACTATCATTATACAATATGCATTGCATAATGCATGTAATACATGCATGTAATACATGTGTTTACCTCAGAGCGGCCAATGATGATGCGAATGAGTGTGTCCTCGTCTGTGCCAAGTCCCTTCATTGCAGCATTAAGACGCCGTGCAAAATACAGCTGGGGGTTCTTGGCACACCGCACTACAAAATCACACAAGTTATAGTGGATGGTCATAAAAAGAACTGGAAACAGATTTGAAATTAAAATGACTGATGCTCCTACTTACCAAGGGTAATATAGCAGTCCTTGAGAGTCCCTGTGGCTTCAGAGTCAATAGTGTCCAAAATGTCTGAGTCAGAAAGCTGAAAAAAAACAAACAGAAGTTTACATGACAGTGTGGAACATTAGTGATGGAGTCTAAAGTTGCAAAAATGTGAAAAACAATGTAAAAACATTTGTAAAGCACAGACTCAGTGCAATACATACAGTCTCATAGGCCTTAAACGTGGCCTGAAGCTGCAGGTAATTCCTGTGAGTCAGGATGTAGGTGAACGTTGACTCGTCTGTGCCAAACCTGCCCTCACCTGCCTGTTATGTAAACAGAAAGGAAACATCTTTGATGAGTATTTGTACTTGTTTTGGGTATCTCATATTGATATTTGCTTATGTTTAGTCAGACTTGATATTATGTTATCACACCTTAGTAATAAGGATGTATTCTCACTTTGGGTTACAAGTTGTTTCATGAATTCAGTAAAAAACTGTTTTCAGTGTCATGACAAAATAAAACCACAGCTTTTGTAGATTAATTTTCTCAGGAGGGGATATTTGTTTGTGCATTCCATGTAATAATAACTCTGATTACCGAAGGTACAATGTTTTTAGCCAAAATAGAAAAATGTCAGTTCCATTCATTTCAGGAACGCTAACAAACCTTCAGCAGAGCCGAATGCTGAGCGTTGAAATGTTGGCGTATGTTAATGCAGCTAGAGAAGTCTGAGCCTGACTTTAGAAAAGGTGGAATTGTTTTTCAGTTCTTTTTTGTGTACTACTTCTCCACTTTTAGTTCAAATACACACTTGTTTGTTCTTCTATCCTCATGGGGACTTTGCATTGACTTCCATTAATTTAAATAGCCCAACTTTAACCGCTTGACCTAAACCTAACCTAAACCACACATCAGCCCCGTTGATGTTGTTTATTTTTTTTTATCATCCTACAGGCTCTGACATGTTAGATAATTTTGAAAATGAGGTTTTGAAAAAATCCGTAAGATTGCTCTATACATCCGTAAACCTGCAAAATGATGTATAATCCTTATAATTTACAGACAATCTGTACAACTTGACATGTATGCTAAACTTTTTTCACACCTTAGTTCTAAACCTAACCCGCCAACATTTTTACACCCGATGGAGACCAGGCTTTTGTCCCCATAAAGAACAATGGGTCCTCACAAGGCTAGGTGTACGGGGAAAGTAGTCAAAACTAAGGCCCACCAGATTACAAAAACCTGCACACTAAAATATCTTGCTATCTTCAGAGGCACTTTGTATTGACTTCCATTCATGTTGCATTCATTTCTGTATCTTGACCCCTGACACACCCTAAACCCAACATGCCCTCAACTCACACATTAGTTCAAAATCTAACCCACCAACAGAATTTGAACTTATGTGGCCCAGACTTTGGGCCACATAAGGAGCAGTGGGTCCCCACTAGGGTTGGGCAAAATCTAGCCTGGTTTAAACCAGACCCTGTCCTTCACTTTGCTTCGTACAAGGGTCTGGGCTTGATACATAGAGAGTTTCTTGCAGGAGGCGTGGCCTCTGCTGAAGCATGTGTGTGTTGTTGCTGTGAAGGAGGCTAAGCTAAGAAGCTAACCGGAAATCGCGTGTGCTGTAAACAACCCTACTGAGAGGAGAAATATACCGAGCCAAACGAGACGACTGTAAATGAGAGCTGCTGCTTTGTCAGACAAATTTATTTTAATTTGGAAGCCTTATCAACACGGACTGGCTTCATTCACTTCCTCCACTGCCGTATGCTAAAATAACTAGCAGACACTGCGCAGAACATCGACGTCATTCAAAACTCTGCCTTCTGTTTGTTGATTGGCCCAGGTAAAATAAACTACAAGCAGACACTGTGCAGAAAATTGACGTTCTGTTCTCTGATTGGCCCGGCTAAAATCTGCCAGCGAAATCCATCTCTATGGAAGAAGTCCCAGACGGAGCAGTGAAGGGAAACTAGAATTGAGTGGAGCTGAAGGCAAGGGCCAGGCTAGTAGCAAAATTGTATCGCGTGCAATTAATCATCAGAAAAACTTGGCACTTGACGATTAATACGATCAATGCCACCAGGCAGACTGACTGGAGATTTCCTTGGTCAGTCCACACAATGCTCCTCTCCGCTTCAAAGATGATGAACATTTTAAAAAAATCAGAATCCTATCATAACTCTGGTTTTACGTGGTCTGTAAACACAATTTATTTAGCCTGAAAGTCTGTCCTATTTACACAGTTAGGAAGACTTTTACGGAGAGCTAATCTTTCCCACTAGAGTGAGTTAAATTAGTCATGTGACTAGGACATGCAGGGGTCCAGGGACTCCAGGGGATTAATTGTCAAATTAATCATCATCGGCTAAATACCACACTTAATCTTGATTAATTTTTTTTGCCAATATTGCCCTACCCTAGTCCCCACAAGGTGGCATGTTTTTGAAAAATAGGCCTTGCAGGGAACCATACGCTAGAACACACACTTTGTCTGGCTTTTTTTGACTTTCAGTCCTCTTTTTCCCAGAGCTTACCTCAACCTCTTAAGGCTCTCTTCCCCCTGCTTCCCACTGTTATTACAGTTCATAACACTGTCTGCAAACAAAATTAGACCTCCTCGACTTCATCGATTATCCTACCCATCAATATTGCAAACAAAAGGTTCAGAGGTTATCACTGATGTGATCCCATATTTCACTGCCTATTTTTGAATTGTACTTCTCTCAGTTACTCTCAGCTCCTAAAAGTACTATCTCCCGTTTCCTAAGCTTCCTCTGCCTTTTCAGATTCACTGTTGAAATATGGGAAATTGTTCTATCCTGTTACACATGCTAGCAGCTCTGTTTAACTCTTTTTGTTAAATTATCTTAAACATGCTCTTTTGTAAATGTAATTTGGTATCATATTTATTATCAAAATGTGAGACGTGAAATAAAACACACCTCAAACAAAGACATCGCATCTTGATCAGCCAAACCCTCATCCACCTCGTAGCCCTCATCTCTGCTTGCCTGTAAAAGAAATAATAAAATTCCACATTATTTTTTATATATGTCCACGTACACGCAGACTCAGAACAATGAGTGTGAAGAAATAAAAGCCAGTCTTTAATGGGATGCCCATCTGCTCTACATAAACAGGAAATATTTGAAGGCCACTGAAGCTCATTAGAATAAATTGCTGTAAAATTTGAGTCACTTAGTCTTACTTTGCTGAGAGAGGGAAGACAAGGGGAAGCAGAAGAGTGTGAGTGCAGTAAAAGAGCTGCAGATGGTGTAATGGCCTGACCATGCCAGTCTATGTGATGAATGTCCCAGTGGGCGAGCCGAAACAATCCTGCGAAACTACTGTAAGTTCCCCGCCTGATTTCAGTAACAACGCTCAGTTTTGCACCTGCAGCAATGAGACCAGCAGGTTCCTGACGTCTCCACTGGTATCGCCCTCAATATCCACCTCCAGGTCACGTTCATGCACTGAAAAATAAAAGGCACAAATGATACAAACTCACATGCAACAGTAGGTTTTACCTTGAATGAATCTGAATAAACTGAATAATATTCAAACAAATAAACTGTAACAAAAATAAATATTAAAACATGATGATATGAGCACTATCACTGTTCATAGGTTTTAACAAAACTCACTGAAAGAAACAAAAGGAACGTTATATTTTATATTCCTCTGAGGAAAACCTACCTTGAGCATATGCTTCTTTGTAGCTGACAATGTCCTGTGGGGGAAAATAACAAAGCTCAAAAATGTCTCAATTTCTTATAGTATGGTTCAGTCTGTAGGAGGAAATTTGTGAAGGATATTTTGATAACTAAATGTTAGGTGGTCTTGTATTTTATGCTTTGTAATCAGTTGCAACCATTTACTTTAAAACAGACAATCTACACATCTCCATTTATCACGTGCCTCGCTCTGGTAGTGTAAACATAATCATTTACTGTAGTTTCAGTCATTCCAGTGCTGATGTAAAAAGGTCCACTTCCAGTGGGTGTGACCAGGGTTTCCATAAGTAGTGTAAGGCCCAGTCCCAATACTCACACTACACCCTACACCCCTCTATGAAATGTGCACTCAGTCAAAGTGCAGATAAGGATTGGAGTATGCAGTTTATAAGTGTGCAAAAGTTGGAGTACTGGGACAATACGGGTAATGTCATCTATTTGTGTTTCTGCATCATAACTGTGACATCCAAAGTGGTGGACGGTTAGTACAGTTACAACAAGCAAGACTAGTAATTAATCTAATTATAATATTTGGTAAATTTCATATTCACAATTTTTCATCATATATATTTATCTACTATATCTGAGAGTACAAACAAAAAGATGTAAACACATATAAATGTTGTAGCTCATTGAATATATTTAATCTGATTTTTTTTTTTTTTGGGGGGGGGGCACTAAATAAAAATCTATCCCTCAGGCATACTGTCAATTATTCTGTTTGTTCCTCATTTTCTCTTTGTATTGGTACTTGAATTACATTTGTAAAGATTTTTTTCAATTAAAAAAAATTTAATTATCACATACAGTGTTGAATTATAGGTAATAGCTTCACCATCACCTGCTTGGATGCAGGTTTAGCTGAACTGTGGATCAAGGGTGCAAACGGGGCGGGGCCAAAGATCACTTTGGATAAATGGGACATCACGCATTTGAACCATTCAGCGGGAACATGCATTTGAAGCACACAAGGATGGAAGTGCGAGTATTGGGACAGGGCCTGACTCTACGCTCGAGGCCATTCTGTTTAGACTCAGAGCCACAGACAGGTTTGCAGTGAAATAGTCTTTAGATCTGAAAATAAACATTCAACCGAAAACTTAATTGTTTTTGTGCGTTATTCAAGCTTCCAATCAGAACATTTCTTTACGCTTTATTCTGAAATTTCAATCTCCAATTATTTATGCACTTACAACACAATACCCTTAGTAGATAATAATGACATTTATGATTTATTTTCTGCAGAAATTAATTTTGTATTACTGATCCTCTAAAGGTTTAGTCTTTTTTCACATTTACATGGTTGTATACATATTTAATGAGACTGGAACAAGTTAAAAGGATCAATAAGTCATATTTAGCAGAAAAATGTGAAACAAGGTATTTACAAGCTTATGGCTGTGCTTGAAGTCAACCTCTTTATGTCTCAATTGGTGCAGGAAAATGCAGGCAGAAGCTGGAAGGTCCAAGCTAAAAGTAATTTATTTAATAAATAAAAAAACAAGAAGCTGCAGCTACAAACGTACAGGGAGCAGGCAGCTAAAATCATTCAATGAACCAGAGGAGTGGAGCTGGAAAGGCTGAATATTTAGGAACTGATGAGAGAATGAGAGGCAGCTGGTCTGATTAGTGAGTGGCAGCAGGTGTGTGGATGTGTGAGCTGCTGACGAGTAAAGAGACATGCCAAAGGGACGAGACACAAGGAGTTCAAATAACATGGAAGAGAACTCATAGTAAAAAGTAGTATGCTTGAAGTTTATTTGAATAAGTATACTTGAGTATTTAAGTATATCAATTATACTAGACACCATGTACTTGTAGTGTACTAGAAAGTATACTAATTTAATACTTGTTTGTATACTAAACTGGGACTTTTAAGTTTATAAAAAGTATACATTAAGTATACTGTTATAATGTCTTTTTAAGTTTATAAACTTGCCAAAAAGAAGTATAATTTAAGTACATGTCATTTAGTATACTAAAGATATAAAAGTGTATTTCCCTAAGTGTACATTTACTGACAAGTATGGGACTAAATTGGCATACAATTATCCAAGTATACTCAGAAGTATACTGAAATTAATCTTCTAAGTATACTTTTAGTACTACAAATAAACCAGTCAGTGTGAAAATGTACTTTCAGTGTACTACTAAAGATTATCTTGGCCAAAAATTTAAACATGACTATAGACTAAGTATACTTAAACTCGTAGTATAATTTTAGTACAACCCAAGTATAGTGTAAGATAAACTTGGTTAAGTATTTCTCAGATAAGTACATAAAAAGTAAACTGGAAGTATACTCTTATGTTTAAATGATTATACTTAAAGGATACCTTCATGCATACCAAGAACATCAAGGATCATGAATAGATCAAAAACCCATAAAACAATGAAAAAAAAATACAACAACCCTGACATTTTAGATTAAAAATGTTTTAAGACAATTTGTTTTACCACACTGCCTAATGTTTCAACGGATTTTTGAAAGTTTTCATAAGCTTAATGTTGAAATTGAACAGATGACAACCTACTTTGCTACACACAGATGAAAGTTTCTGAACAACAAAATCTTAAATATGTGTTTAAAAAGTAATGGTGTATTCAAATTGTACACTGAAGGTGGAAATTCTGGGTTCCAAGTTAGAAAAATGAACACAAACGCCACCTAAAGTCATAAAACTGATGTAAATCTGCAATCTAACCAATAATCCTGATCAACCTTGATCACTAACAGGATTTGAAACTTTTATTCATGTTCTTAAACCTGTGTTAGAAGTGCATTTAAAAATAATATCATTGATAAAAACATCCAGCTTAGTCTTAACGGTCACCACACCTGATTTGTGGCAGTGCACAGGATCTCGACCAGAACAGCTTCGTCCGTGCCCGCCCCCGCCATGGCCTTTCTGAGCTCCTTGGCAAAGAAAACATGGGGAGGGTCCAACATGGCAACAATAGCATTCTCCAAGTTTCCCGAGAGCTCTTTCTTCAGGACTTCCTCCAGCTCCTGGCATGAAACAAAGCTCACAGTATTTGTGTGTGTGTGTGTGTGTGTGTGTGTGTGTGTGTGTGTGTGTGTGTG